ATATGTACATAGCGTTATTGATAAATAGGCAAATATCATTTTAGTATGACGTTAATAGTAATTAATATTATCCACTGCTTCATTGGTCAGGTGGTTATAAACTTCGACTCAGGGGTCGAAGTCCGGCAAAAAAATAATAACTTGAATTTTTTCTCGGTTGTCTGTTTCATGTAGTCTATTAAAACTATAATGTTGATCTTAATTTATGTATAGGTACACACTTTATTACACTTATCGATATCAGTTTAGGATTATGTTTTTAGTACATTTGACATTTGATTATTTTTTATGGTTGCATATATCATCATCAAGAGCTTATAATCGGCCACTGCTGACCAAAGGCCTCTTCTCTCACAGAGAAGGTTTGAGTTGTGCGTAAGTTATAAATTCAGAATACTCTTAATAAATAATCCTTTTCTCTTCTATATATATCCTTCGAAGTTCAGTTAGACGAAAGTAGCTACATCCTGAAAATTATGTTACACAAACTTCCAAGACCAATTTCAGGGTAAAGTTAGAATACTTGGTATTCTGACTAAGAAATAATCAATTTAAGCTAACACACTAATCCTCACATGTTCGGCCAATAATTACAATTAGCTGCGACCTAATGGTCCTCCCACGGTTCGGAGGAAACTAAACCAATTATCAGATGGAGATAATTACTTTTATCACTAAGATAATGTTAATTTCGTAACAGAACAAGGTCTCTGATTAGTATTATTACTTACTAATTGAAATGCATGTAAATTTATTATTAAAAACGTAGAAAGAGGCTAAAACAAACAGCCTTCAATGTGGAATGTGTGTCCGAATATCAAAATCCGGTGTGTTATGTATGATAGTCGAGCGGATGCAAGCAGTCTTTGTATTCTAGGTTTCCGATTTTATTTCCACAGTCGGCCTAGGTAACAATTTTTTGTTTTTGCTAGATTATTATTTTTGCTATAAGTATTCCCACCATCTCTCGATCGGAGTGATACCACGGCCTCACAGTAAACCGGCGTAAAACAACGCTTGTATATTGATTCGCTATGTGAGCGAGGTTACCATAGAGGAGGCACAATCTGTCCATTTACAATTCTCAAAGTCTTAATCTCCAAATGGCCATTGCTATCAGGCAATCTATATATCTGTTCGTTTACTATTCTATACCATAAAAAACATTCCTTTACACTTTGAACACCACTCTTAATTTTCCAACTTTAAATTAGATTCTTAGTTATGTTTTTTTCATGCTTGCATCTGGTTGCTTATCCACAGATTATAATACAAGTAAATAGAGGAAGTCTTCTATATAGCAGTTGTAATTCCATTTACAGTCTACATAGCATAGCATACTGAGATGTATACAATTTAACCGACTGTCCGAGCATTGCAAATTGCATGACAATCACTGACGGTTATATTACAAGTGCATTGTGACGTAGGTAGTAGTTAGACAGCTGACTGCATAGAAGTAGATAAGCATGACACATCTATATTAAGACTTTGACTGACTTTTAAATAGGTATTTAGAATATTAAGGTCACTGTTATGGTCATCTTAGAATTAGGTCAGTACAATTTATGGCCAGCTTCAATAATAATTTCATATTAATTAGAGTAGGACGGAATTGTAATCCGAGATCCATTAGTAAATATGTAATTTGTATGTAAATAATTCTTAGAACACTTAGAATGTATGTAACTAAATAGAATGAATAGGTTGCTAAGGGGACGACGTGCTCCATCGCAGGCCACATCATCGCTTACCACCAGGCGAGATAGTGGTCAAACGTCGGCCCAAAAAATTAAAAAAAAAAACAAATTAAAGCTCAATTATATGTCTAAATATTTTGATGTGTCACAATCACACCACCTATTTAGTACCTGGGTAATTAAATAGATAGGTAAATGCTTTATAGTATTAGAATATTTTGATTCATAAGAATGGCGATACTGATATTTCTTGCTTGGCAAAGTCTATGTACTTATTTTAACAGACTTCTAAAAACTATTTTTCTTCTTTCGTCTAAATTGTCGCAATAAATAATTATCCTTTAAGTCTAAATTACAACGAAGTCTTTGAATGCATTATATATAGTTGAAAATAATAGCGTTTCTATTACCCACTATAATTATACTGGCTTAAGAAAAATTATAGAGATCTTTAGTAGTTTAAATACCAAGCACTTCAGGTGTAGTATTAAACATATTTTAAGTATAATGATTAGTTATGTCGATAACCCTGAATTTTAAAAACTAGGTCCACTTTCAACCATACAAAATTAAACTTTATCTCAGGGACAATAAACACAAAATGGTTTTCCCAACTCCACACGAACAATGTGATTGTGATAAAAACATGGAATTTAATATTTTTGACGTATTTCGCGCAATAAATCATACTTTACTTTCTAAAGTACGAAAATATTTGTGACAGAAATACTTGTAATGTATTTAAAGATGTGATTTATTACTTTTACTTGATGAAATGTCCCCAAATATTGTGGCCTTTACATTTGACAAATATTACGTACATTTAGAGGTGCCTACCCGTGATTTTGACAAATTTTGGTGTTATACCCTGCGGGAAAATACGTTGGTGTCGCCGTTTTCTTCGGAGATAACTGTCAGTCATCTAACTGCCTTCTTACGGACATTTTCTATGACCTATCTATCTGTAGATTTGCTTACTGAGATAGAATTTTGACACATTTTGTATGGAGCTTATGTCAAAATTCTATCTCAGTAAGCAAATCTACAAATAGATATGTTATAGAAAATGGCCGTTAGTGCAGTGGTTCTTTTTCATGACTGCGGATCATGGGTCTTCATCTTCGAATCAAACATAAATATTGTCTAAGCGACATTGGTCAGGTTAAAACTGGTTGTTGGCGTTATGATCGTGATCACATCAAAAAGCAAAAAGTTATAAGTAATAACACCAGATTATAAACTATTCATTTTAATACCATGTCTTACCATATATAAATGTAATTAAAAAATATTTGTCTGTCTGTCTGTCTATCGGTTTGTTCATGCATCACCCAAAAACTATTGTTACGATTACAGTGACACCTGGTATGATTATACTTTAAAGTCCTTAGCATCACACTGGGTACTTAAATCCTGAAACACTAAAAACAAACTTAATTGTGCGGGGCCTAGACACAGTTACTGTACCAAAAGCAAATATAAGTTTGTCGAATGTAAGTTTGCCCGCTGTGGACTGACTATACCGCGGGCCCAACACATTTCGACCATCGGCTAGGTAGGCCTGTTGGTTGTTGTTAGCCGTTTTGAGTAAAACACAGGCTACTTTTTAATGCGGTACGCGGGCGAAGCCGCTGGCAGAAGCTAGTTGGTTAATAAGTTAATCAAAAGCAATGTTAATAACAATCAGGCGAGTTATAAATTAGTTACGATAAAAAATAAATCAAGACGCCAACATCTTTTTTTATGAACAAAACAGGTTCTATGGGCTAAACTTTGAATCAATTTTAGGTAAGAAGTACCTACTTCATTCCTTCTTTATTTTGGGTTTTTACCTGTGCTGTCGCTGGCCAGTATCATTGGAAGTATAACTTCATTTTCCTGTTTCATTTATTTTTAGTACCAATTTTTATATCTCTGTATCTCATATATATCCTTACTATATAATATTATAAATTTGAAAGTGAGTTTGTTTGTTTGTTTGTTTGTTCCACCTTCACGCCGTAACTACTCAACCGATTGCTTTGAATTTTTGCAGACGTAAAGTTAGAAGTCCGGATTAAATAATAGGGTACTTTTTAACCCGGAAAAAAATGATATTCCCGAGGAAAAACAAAAGTATTGGTATAGATGGCGCTGTGTGTATTGGTATATGTCACATAGGCTACTTTTTATTCTTTTGTGACGCGAGCGAAGCCACGGGTAAAAGCTTGTCTTTATATAAAGCAGAAGAGTTTGTTTTTTTGTTTGTTTGTTTGAACGCGCTAATCTCCGTAACTACAAGTCTGATTTGAATAATTCTTTTTGTGTTGGATAGCGCATTTATCGAGGATGGCTATAGGCTATAAAACATCACGCTACTGCCAATAGGAGCTGAGCAGCGCGTGTGAAACCGCGCAGAAGTAGCTAGTATGTATATAAAGTACCTACAGTACAATCGACAAAATGTGAATTATAACAATTATTCTTTATGCTCATACGTGATGTCACGAAAATATAGTCCAAGCCTGTTTTAATAAATGACATCTACGTATTGCATCATTGCATGGGTATCATAAACATCATCTACTTAGTTAAAATATATAATTAGATGCCATTACGTCAACATGTTTATAGATATTCAAATATGGTTATTTATAAACAGTTGAAGATGTTTTAATGTATCACTGCATAAGAATTTGATGAGCACCTAAGATTTTACTGTTTATAGGTAGGTATTATAACTATAGTTCACTTATTTGTATAGCCGTCTAGTCTAGATGAGTCAGTTCAGTGTTTTAGTAAAATAGACGTAAACTGACGCTTTTTTTAAGGGGGGAAAATCATCGAATGACTTCTACCGCCTGGGTGAGGCGGGAGGGAGTGTCAGACTCTTACTGACTAAAAATCACCCCGTTCCTTCTCCTGCACTTCGAGACGGAGCCCCGGCAACCCGTTAGGTTCTCCGCGGCTCCGTATCGGCATCAGCCCTATTGGACCCCCCCAATGCCGCCGCGGATAGGGATCCGTGGACGTAAACTAACGTTAAATGACTAAAAATATACAGTTGTAATTCTTGCCAGATAAAGTACCATAATGCCTACTGTGGTTGTCGAACAAATTAAGATAATTATGTATGAATCCATACTTTAAGAACGATTCCAGATGCTGTACCTACTATTACTGAACATTTCGGAAATTTAAAATACAATAGCACTCTGCCCGACCGACTCGGCAGGAGCTCCAGTAACCACGCGACCATCAAAGCGATCTTCTTAAATATAGTTTTTTTTTGTTTCAGATCGTAAGCACTAAGGCATCATAATGTTTGAGTGCTTCTTAGAAATCGGCTTTGAAGCCGAACTAAACACCAAAGAAGACCCAGAGTTAATGGAATTGGCATATGAACAGTGCAAAGAGAACCTGGCTACCAGGGCGGCAGCCATCACAGAGCTTAGGCAAATGATATTTGGTGAGTAATGGACAATTGACAAGGCGTGTCATATTATGTTGCTTTTCCTGTATTGTTTTTCTTTTGTTAAAATGAATCTATACAAAGGGTATTTTTTGCCTGTTGTCATTTGTGTGCATAAATTATTTATTTATAATATTTTTGACAGTTGCATGTAAGCAGTCAATGACTCTTTGCAGGTCGTTCGCTTATTTCAAACATATTTTTATGTACTAATCATCGATTGTCAATTGTTATGTCTTAGCAACACATCAAAATTGCATGTCATTAACTAAAGAAAAGTTCAAATGATCATAATTATTTTTTAATTAAACGTAACTAAATGATAAATGGAGAATTGTAATAAACAAATCAACTACTTATGATGTATTTTTAACCGACTTCAAAAAAAGGAGGAGGTTCTCAATTCGACCGTATATATGCTTTTTTTTTTATGTTTGTTCGCCGATATCTCCGTTGTTTATAAACCGATTTTGAAAATTCTTTTTTTGTTAGAAAGGAGATAGTTCCAGAATGGTCCCATGATAAGGAAATCAGGATCTGATGATGGAAGACCAGGGAAACCGAGGGGAACTTTTAAAAATTATAGGGGTGACTAGGGCATTTGTTAATTTTTTCATTAAGTATTTAAAACCACTACAATCTGATAAAGGTCTGGAGCCGATCTGATGATGGAGCCGAGAGCCAGTTGAGGGAACTCCTCAACGGTTAACAGTAGCTACCTTGTGTTTGGGTTTGATTATTTTGTATTGATGAGGACTTTACACCTGAGTGGGGTGTAATTGTCAATAAGGGTCTGATGATGAAGTAGTACGATAGTTGAGGGAACTCCTCAACGGTTAACAGTAGCTACTTTGTGTTTGGGCTTGATTAATTTGTATTGATGAGGACTTTACACCTGAGTGGGGTGTAATTGACAATAAGGGTCTGATGATGAAGTAGTACGATAGTTGGGGAACTCCTCAACGGTTAACAGTAGCTACTTTGTGTTTAGGTTTGATTAATTTGTATTGATGAGGACTTTACACCTGAGTGCGGTGTAATTGACAATAAGGGTCTGATGATGAAGTAGTACGATAGTTGAGGGAACTCCTTAACGGTTAACAGTAGCTATTTTGTGTTTAGGTTTGATTAATTTGTATTGATGAGGACTTTACACCTAGATGGGGGGGGGGGGTGATGGTCATTAAAGGTCCAATGACGAAGTAGTATGATAGCTAAGGGACTCCTCAATGGTTAAGAGTACCCACCCGGTGTTTGAACTTGCATAATTTGTATTGATGAAAACTTTGCATCCATGTGGGTTTTTAACCGACTTCAAAAAAAGGAGGAGGTTCTCAATTCGACCGTATATATGTTATTTTTTTTTTTTTATGTTTGTTCGCCGATATCTCCGTTGTTTATAAACCGATTTTGAAAATTCTTTTTTTGTTAGAAAGGAGATACTTCCAGAATGGTCCCATGATAAGGAAATCAGGATCTGATGATGGAAGACCAGAGAAACCGAGGGGAACTTCTAAAAATTATAGGGGTGACTAGGGCATTTGTTAATTTTTTCATTAAGTATTAAAAACCACTACAATCTGATAAAGGTCTGGAGCCGATCTGATGATGGAGCCGAGAGCCAGTTGAGGGAACTCCTCAACGGTTAACAGTAGCTACCTTGTGTTTGGGTTTGATTAATTTGTATTGATGAGGGCTTTACATCTGAGTGGGGTGTAATTGTCAATAAGGGTCTGATGATGAAGTAGTACGATAGTTGAGGGAACTCCTCAACGGTTAACAGTAGCTGCCTTGTGTTTGGGTTTGATTAATTTGTATTGATGAGGACTTTACACCTGAGTGGGGTGTAATTGTCAATAAGGGTCTGATGATGAAGTAGTACGATAGTTGAGGGAACTCCTCAACGGTTAACAGTAGCTACTTTGTGTTTGGGTTTGATTAATTTGTATTGATGAGGACTTTACACCTGAGTGGGGTGTAATTGACAATAAGGGTCTGATGATGAAGTAGTACGATAGTTGAGGGAACTCCTTAACGGTTAACAGTAGCTACCTTGTGTTTGGGTTTGATTAATGTGTATTAATGAGGACTTTACACCTGAGTAGGGTGTAATTGACAATAAGGGTCTGATGATGAAGTAGTACGATAGTTGAGGGAACTCCTCAAAGGTTAACACTAGCTACCTTGTGTTCGGGTTTGATTAATTTGTATTGATGAGGACTTTACACCTTAGTGGGGTGTAATTGTCAATAAGGGTCTGATGATGAAGTAGTACGATAGTTGAGGGAACTCCTCAACGGTTAACAGTAGCTACTTTGTGTTTGGGTTTGATTAATTTGTATTGATGAGTACCTTACACCTGAGTGGGGTGTAATTGTCAATAAGGGTCTGATGATGAAGTAGTACGATAGTTGAGGGAACTCCTCAACGGTTAACAGTAGCTACCTTGTGTTTGGGTTTGATTTATTTGTATTGATGAGGACTTTACACCTGAGTGGGGTGTAATTGTCAATAAGGGTCTGATGATGAAGTAGTACGATAGTTGAGGGAACTCCTCAACGGTTAACAGTAGCTACTTTGTGTTTGGGTTTGATTAATTTGTATTGATGAGGACTTTACACCTGAGTGGGGTGTAATTGACAATAAGGGTCTGATGATGAAATAGTACGATAGTTGAGGGAACCCTTAACGGTTAACAGTAGCTACCTTGTGTTTGGGTTTGATTAATTTGTATTAATGAGGACTTTACACCTGAGTGGGGTGTAATTGACAATAAGGGTCTGATGATGAAGTAATACGATAGTTGAGGGAACTCCTCAAAGGTTAACACTAGCTACCTTGTGTTTGGGTTTGATTAATTTGTATTGATGAGGACTTTACACCTGAGTGGGGTGTAATTGTCAATAAGGGTCTGATGATGAAGTAGTACGATAGTTGAGGGAACTCCTCAACGGTTAACAGTAGCTACTTTGTGTTTGGGTTTGATTAATTTGAATTGATGAGGACTTTACACCTAGATGGGGGGGGGGTGATGGTCATTAAAGGTCCAATGACGAAGTAGTATGATAGCTAAGGGACTCTTCAATGGTTAAGAGTACCCACCCGGTGTTTGAACTTGCATAATTTGTATTGATGAAAACTTTGCATCCATGTGGGTTTTGTATAATATAATATATCAAAGTACTAAACTAAAAAGTATAACATAAAATTAAAAAACTGCGTTTAAAAAAAACCGACTTCAAAAACAAATGACAAACAAAAAGTAAAAACTAAAAAGGAAAAAAAAACTATTAGTGGTCATACGTACTTATAGCTTACACACCCACTGATAGGTTAGAAGTCGGTGCCACAAACCCACAATAAAATATAAAGTAGAGAAAAGTCACAGCTGGTATAATCCATAATAAAATTGTAAACAGCTCAATAATGTTAGGTATCTATTAAGGTTTTAATGAATATATAATAATTAGGTTTAAAACTTGTGGCACCGACTTCTAACCTATCAGTGGGTGTGTAAGCTATAAGTACGTATGACCACTAATAGTTTTTTTTTTCCTTTTTAGTTTTTACTTTTTGTTTGTCATTTGTTTTTGAAGTCGGTTTTTTTTAAACGCAGTTTTTTGTATTATAATATATCAAAGTACTAAACTAAAAAGTATAAAATAAAATTAAAAAACTGCGTTTAAAAAAACCGACTTCAAAAACAAATGACAAACAAAAAGTAAAAACTAAAAAGGAAAAAAAAAACTATTAGTGGTCATACGTACTTATAGCTTACACACCCACTGATAGGTTAGAAGTCGGTGCCACAAACCCACAATAAAATATAAAGTAGACAACAGTCACAGCTGGTATAATCCATAATAAAATTGTAAACAGCTCAATAATGTTAGGTATCTATTAAGGTTTTAATGAATATATAATAATTAGGTTTAAAACTTGTGGCACCGACTTCTAACCTATCAGTGGGTGTGTAAGCTATAAGTACGTATGACCACTAATAGTTTTTTTTTCCTTTTTAGTTTTTATGTTTGACTAAAATCAGCTTTGTAACTACTTTTCTATCAATTACATTAATAAAAATTATCGTTTCAGATAGGGGTGAATGTCATCCTTTAAGAACAGATGATGAATACCTGCTAAGGTTTCTTCGAGCGAGAGAATTCATTGTACCAAGAGCACATAAACTGGTGGGTATGTTTTTTGTAGTTGAAGACTTGTATGAACGTAGGCAAAGGCACTTGGTCTATAAGTACGTACTTACACATGTAGTACTTGATCTTTGTATATTTACTTAGGATCTTTACTATAATTAAACATTAGTTGGCTACTCAGAAATGTTATACGAAGTCAAACAATTACAATTGTATATACCTATAGTGTATATGATATACGATCGTTGCTGTTATGTCAAGAGAATAGGCAGCACTATTTTTCCTATGCGGAGAGCATAAGACAATAAGAGGTTGGGGTAGACGTGTTCTGGAGTACCAAGTCCAGGCCTAGGCAAACGTAGTGTTGGGCTTCTTCCAGCTACGATATTAGCAAAGTGGATGGCAGTGGCTGGATACTAAGAGCTGAAGATGGAGCTAAAGAAAACAATGCCAGTAGTGGTCAGAAATGGATGAAGATAGTGAAATGATGTGGCATGCTATTGCTAAAATAAGATTATTGTTTTAGGGTTTATCAAAGGTCTCATATTATCACTAAACCTTTTAAAAACACAATATATGTGTACTATATACATATGTTCTATACCTGAGGTGAATCGAGCATAGCACCAAAGGTAATTCAAACGTGTTGTATCAAAAATAGAAGTAAATTGAATAGAAATAAAAACTAAAAATATTAGTTTTGATTACTTGAATGTCTATAATTTATATTAATATTAATTTAGTTTTTTAGAGCAGGGTATAGATTGTATTTATAGTAAGTATATTCATTTATACATAATAGAAATTATTATTCGGGGCTTTATAGATATTACTAGCTGCGGCTTCGCTCGCGTCACAAAAGGATAAAATTAACCTATGTGACATACATTAATACACACAGCGCCATCTATACCAATACTTTTGTTTTCCCTCGGGAATATCAAATTTTTCCGGGATAAAAAGTACCTTATTATTTAATCCGGACTTCTAACTTTACGTCTGCAAAAATTCAAAGCAATCGGTTTAGTAGTTACGGCGTGAAAGCGGAACAAACAAACAAACTCACTTTCCGATTTATAATATTAGTAAGGAAGTAAGGATACTGGTGTATCTCGAGTGTAGTGGGGGACGTTACTAGATAGATACCGAACCCAATAATGTGATACATTTTTGTCTATCTGTCTGTATGTTCACGCTCCACGCAAAGAAAAACTATAGGTCCGATTACGATGAAACTTGGCATGATATATACTTTAGTATCACACACAGTACTGGGTACTTTACTCCTGAAACAGTATACACACGAAAAACCAAACTTAATTGTGCGGCTCAATCTCTAGACACAGTTACTGTACCAAACGCAAATATAAGTTTGTCTAATGTTGGGTAGCCCGCAGTGGACTTCACGCTATAACTGTAGGGCCGATGGTTGAAATTAGCTTGAACTGACCGATATTATAAATGTGATATTAAATATGTGAGTTTGTGAGTGTGTTTGTTACTCAGTCACATTAAAACGGCATGAAATTTGGAACAGAGGCAGATTATTTATTATCTGTAGTAACATAGGCTACTTTTTACCCTCGGGAACGCGAGCAAAGCCGCTGGCAAAAGCTTATAAAATATTTAATATGAATATTACATTGATTATCTTTAAATATTTTATTTTTTATGTTTATTTTATTGTCGTGACATTTTCAAAGTTCACATTTGAATGACCACTAAAATCAAGAAGTTGGTTTTATTTCAACGCTTTATTATTAGAACAAGGAATCACTATTTTTTTAAATTCGTTACAAAGTAAAATATTCATAATTATAATGGAGATGATGTCAGGGTATGAAAATTAAAAATATAATTAGTCCGTAAGTTAGGTAATTAAAAAATATTAGACACGTATTTTTTTATTTTGTCATATAATAAAACAATACTTAGATAAAACGAATCAAAGTTTAGGAGTGGGGGCTAAAACGTCATTTCTTAGTATAAAATGTACTGAGAAGTGACGTCACGCGACATTTCAAATCAATATATCTTCGAAACTATTCGTTTCCGTAGGAAAATGAAAAATACGTGTCTAATGTTTTTAAATAATCTACCAGACGGACATTAAAATAAAAATTAGTCGTCTACCTATTCTTCTAGTTGATGCTAACCTTGTATATAATACCTATGATAATATTTTGTCTTAAAAATGCATTATTCTTGTGAGACTACAAAAATATTATTACCTTTGTTCTTTTTTTTTCTATTTATATCTGGTTTAAAAATGATTTGACTAAATATGTATAACCAGGTTTTCCGACTCGATAGGTACATGAATTAAATTATTTCTAGTAAAAAAATGTGAAAGAGTAAAGGTAAAAAGTGAGTGTGACATTGTACAAGGACAGTAAGTGACGTAATGTGCACCTCTACCTACCCTTCGGGGAAAAAAGGCTGTACAGTCGAACTGTACATTTAAATCAAATCATAATGTGTGAGAGCAAACAGGTGACCTGTATGTACAGTTTTACTTGAAAGTGTCCATACAGGTCACCTGTTTGCTGTATGTAGGCTGTATGGATATTCGATTTAACTGTACAGGTCGACCGTACAGTTAAACCGGAAGGTGTCGCCTGCATTATATTATACAAAAAAGTTGTTTAGAAAACAAACATCGATGCAGCCGCAGGCAATACTAGCATACAATAATAACAAATAAACAAGAATAATAAAGTAAATACTTGAACACTTATGTATCAAAAATGTACATAACTGTTCAATAAGCTGCTTAGTCATCTGACATCATTTGTACACACGACATATCAAGCTACACATAGCCAGTTTAACTTGACCCTCGAATGTATGGAAAGATCATACGAAGCGAGACCATGTTAAACTGATTTATATAGCTTGATGTGACGCTGTGTATATATACATGATAGGTGTTAAATGTCAACTCTTGTAACTAACAATATCTTTGACATTATCTATATTATGTACCTTATCTATATTGTTTTGAGCATAGTGCAGTCAATTATTGTATGACAGACAGACTTTTTTATTTTTAGAATATAAAATGAAACAGTGGAACAAAAAATGTATGTATTTATATTTTTCTTGTCATCATCGGCCTGTGTTCGTCCACTGCTGGACATAGGCCTCTCCAATGACACGCCACTGAGCTTGGTCTTCAGCTCTTCTCATGCAACTACTGCCATCCACCCTGCGGATGTCGTCACTCCACCTAGCTGGAGGGCGCAGTCTACACTACGTCGCTTATACTCAGTTTCCACTCTAGAACACGGTTACCCCAACGGTTATCGGTTCTTCGACAAACGTGACCGGCCCACTGCCACTTCAGCTTACTAATGGTTTGGGCTATGTCGATAACTTTGGTTCATTTCGTTTCGGATTCGATCCTCCAAGAGACTCCGAGCATAACATATTGGTGTACATACCAATCGCAAGTTTTTCTTGTAGCTCTTAGTATTCAAATTGTATTTTTTCACTGTAGGTACCTATATTTTTGAGATTTTTGTGAAGAATTACGTTATGAAGTGCAAAATATAATATAATAATAATAATAATAAGATTCATTCGTCAGATTCCCAAATCTTGACGCAGCAGTCCGACCAAAACCAGCAGTACCTGCCTGGCAGTGCAGGATAGAGCGTCGTATCAGTGAGGCCAGGGTACTCATTGGCAAACTATCCTGCTTCAGGGAGGGCAATACTCGTCCTAGAGTGATGCGCTTTGTAAGACGTGCATTTGTGGGGACTGAAATCAGTCCTCATGAATACTTATCACGTGTTACAGAACGCATCGACTTCCTGAAGCAGAAAGTTTATGCATGGGCAAACCGTATCAGAAGGTACAAAAAAAGAGTGGAGCGCTATACTCAGAATCGCATGTTCCAAAGAGATCAGAGGTGGGTATACAGAGATTGGGAACGATCCAACCAAGATGTGGCTGACGGGAGGCGACCGGATGATGATGCCACTAACACATTTTGGCGCAACATCTGGTCGGTGCCTGTCAGCCACACAGAAGGTGACTGGATGTTTGATGTTAAGCGAAGGTGTGAGACTATACCAGAGATGGAGGAGGTAGTAATCACCTCCTCTGATGTAGCCAGTGCAGCCTGTTCGGTCCCGAATTGGAAATCACCGGGGCCGGACGGACTGCACAATTTCTGGATTAAATGGCTCAAGAGTTCACACGTTCGCTTAGCATTACACTTCCAGGCAGCTTTGGAAACTGGGTCGTTACCACAATTTCTAACAACAGGAGTTACCCACTTGCTCCATAAATCAGGTAGTTCCACTGAGCCCAAAAATTATAGACCAATCACATGTCTACCAACGGTCTATAAACTTCTTACATCCATTTTGAGGACAAAAATAACAAAACATATTAAAAAAAATTCCATCATGTCGGTATCTCAAAATGGATGTAGGGAGGGGTCTCGTGGAACTAAGGAGCTACTCCTCATTGATATGGTTGTTAGCCAACAGGTTCGTCGGTCCCGAAAAGATTTGTCTACATGCTGGATAGACTATAAAAAAGCATATGATTCTGTGCCACATACATGGCTCCTGAAGGTGCTGGAGTTGTATAAAATACATGCATGTTTACGCGCCTTCTTGGAGTCATGTATGAGGCAGTGGAGCACCGTGCTTTGCTATCCGGGATGTAGACAAATCCAAGGGAATGAAGAACCTGTAAGGATAGTACGAGGAATATTCCAGGGTGACAGCCTGAGCCCACTATGGTTCTGCTTGGCCTTGAATCCTCTAAGTACTCTACTGGAGGATTCAGGGCTAGGCTATCCTTTGCGGAGAAGGGGTCTAGTTATATCCCACTTACTGTACATGGATGACCTCAAGTTGTTTGCTCCAAACAAGAAACAACTGATGGAACTACTGAATATAACTGAAAAATTTAGTAGTTCCATCAGAATGGAGTTTGGAGTAGACAAGTGTGCGGTCATGCATGTAAAGCGAGGAGGGATTGTGGAATCTGAGGGACTAGAACTCTCAGATTTCACAAAACTGAGATCACTCTCCGCAAACGATACATACAAGTACCTGGGTATGTCAGAAGGATTAGGCATTAATGGACCGGACATGAAGCAATCGCTACAGGAGCGCTTCTTTGGCCGCCTGAATAAGGTACTAAAAAGTTCCTTATCAGGCGGAAACAAGGTGCGAGCCTTTAACGGTTGGGTCATGCCAGTCCTAATGTATTCTTTTGGTATACTCAAGTGGACACAGACTGAACTTGACACCCTGGATAGACGAGTCCGGACCCTGCTGACTGCAAATCGCATGCATCACCCTCGTTCGTCGGTCATGAGGTTGTACATCCCGCGGAAGTGTGGTGGTCGAGGCTTATTAAATGCTAAGACCCTTCACAACCGTGAGGTGTGCAGCCTCAGGGAATATTTCCTGAAAGTCAACGAGGGTATGCATCGAGAAGTAGCAGCGGTGGACAATGGATTCACTCCGCTATCCTTGGCAAAAGAGAACTGGCGCAAACCTGTGGTACTGAGCGTCAATGATCGCAAGGAGGTATGGCACAGCAAGGAGCTCCACGGACGTTTCTTCCGGGCCCTTCATGGGCCCAGTGTAGATTTTCTAGCGTCCGTATCTTGGCTACGATTCAGTAATCTCTTTGGAGAAACTGAAGGATTTGTCTGTGCAATTATGGACGAAGTTATCCTTACGAATAACTACCGGAAATATATAATTAAGGATGGGACGGTTGACATATGTCGGGCATGTCATAGTCCTGGTGAATCCATTAGACATATTATTTCTGGTTGTGGTCGTTTGGCTAACAGTGAATATTTGCATAGGCATAATCAAGTAGCCAAGATTATCCATCAGCAACTTGCTTTGCACTATCGACTTGTTGAGTCTGAGGTACCGTACTACAAGTATGTGCCCGACCCAGTTCTGGAAAATGACCATATCACGTTGTACTGGGACCGGTCTATCATCACTGACAGGACTATTATAGCCAACAAACCTGATATAGTGGTGATAGACCGACAAGTGCGCCGCACGATGATAATCGATATCACTATTCCTCATGATGAGAACCTCGTGAAAGCTGAAAAAGATAAACAAATCAAATATCTTGATTTGGCTCACGAGGTTGTCGACATGTGGAATGTAGATTCGGCTATCATTGTGCCGATAGTCGTGTCGGCCAATGGGTTAATCCCTAATAGCCTCGACAACCACCTTAGGAGGCTAGCGTTAGGCAGTTGGGTCAAGGGCCTGATACAGAAGGCAGTTCTCCTTGAAACGGCACGTATCGTGAGGAGGTTTCTGTCTCTGGAGCCCTAACCACCGGTAGCTTGGACCATGCTCCCGCTACTGGTCGGCTCCTATTTTTTATATTTTTAAATATTATTTTTGTCTTTGTAAGTAGTATTTAAAAATGTATTTTATAGAGAATTTAAAATAAATATATGGAAATAATAATAATAACCTTTATTGTACACCTTAAATAAATGGAATATACATTAGCGTTATAATAAAAAAATAGTAGGGTACAAAGGCGGCCTTATCACTAATAGCGATCTCTACCAGGCAACCTTTGGGTGAATGGAGCATTGTTCGATGAAAGTGGAGGTTGTTCTTGGTGTACTCAGGTACTTATAAATTATATGTACAAGTAAAATATATATTCTCTAAATAAATAGTATATTTAAAATAAAATATAATACTTACATAAGACCTTATACATACAAACATATCCATATAAATATATATACATACAACATATATATATACTATATATATATATATATATACACAAATAAAAATATAGCACAGATGATGAATAGGAACAGCAAAAGAAAAAACAAAAAAGAAATAGTAATGGACTACAACGTGGCGAAATAATGGTTTTTCACGAGTGCTTTGAATGTAACAAGTGACTCTGCTTGTCTGACAGAAAGTGGCAGAGCATTCCACAGTCGAACAGCTCGTACTGTAAAAGATCTGTCGAATGATCTACTCGCATGCTGGGGCATCTCAAGCTTCATATCCTCCGACGACCGTACTGGTCTAGAATGTGTGTCATGGTAGAACTGGAAACGTTCTTTGAGATAGTGGGGGGTAGTAGGATTAAACAGTATACTGTAGAGTAAGGATAAGATATGAGTATCCCGGCGAAGGCGGATCGGCAGCCACTTGAGTTTAGCGCGATATTCGGAAATATGATCATATTTGCGTAAACCAAATATAAACCGTATACTAAAATTTTGGAGTCGCTCAAGTTTATCTAGCTGCACTTCGGTAAGATCTGGATAGCTGACGTCAGCATAATCGAGGATGGGAAGAAGAAGTGATTGAGTAAGCGCAATTTTAGTAGCAGTCGGAAGAAAGTTCCGAAGTCTACGCAAAGACCTCGCAGACGCAAACATTTTCCGACTTACTTGTTTCAGTTGAGGTTCCCAAGTGAAGTCTCGGTCCATGACAATACCCAAGTCTTTTACTGTGTCACTGTATGGGATTGTGGTACCATTAAAAATAATTGAAGGGATCTGCGACCACATAATTTTACAGCGTAAGCGGGGGCTACCGACAACAATGACTTGTGTTTTCGCGGGGTTAACTTTCAAACCATAGGTCGTACTCCATTCCGAGATTCGTGCCAAGTCCGTATTCACCATCTTTACTGCCTCGGAGAATTCATTAGGAGGTGCTTGTGAGTAAATTTGCAGATCGTCGGCATACAAGTGGTAGGAAGACAGAAGTTCATTAGAAATGGAATTTATAAAAATTGCGAAGAGTAGAGGAGAAAGAACGCCCCCCTGCGGTACGCCAGCAGCCGTATCAGACCAGGAAGAGTATGAACCCTCAATGGCGACACGCTGCCGGCGGCCAAACAGGTAACTGCGAAAGAAATCAATCACAGTTGGAGATATGTTAAGAGAGCCCAATATTCCAAGCAGTATATCAAAATCAACGGTGTTGAAGGCATTGCTAAAGTCTAGCAAGGTGAGCAGAGTTAGATTGCCGTTTTCAACACCGGATCGTATGTCATCAGTGATATGGACCAAAGCCGTAATGGTACTATGTCCCGGACGAAACCCGGATTGGTAAGGATTAAGGAGACTGTGTTTGGTAAGGAAAGCGCTTAGCTGGTTATAAATAAGACGTTCCAGAACTTTAGAAAGGAAGGGTAAAATAGAAATAGGGCGATAGTCGGAAAAGGATTCTGGATTAGGTTTTTTAGGAAGTGGTGTAACCTGCGCTTCCTTCCATGCAGAAGGGAAGACGCTGCTGGACAAAGAATAGTTAAGGATGTGGCAGATGACAGGAAGGATCTCATCCAAGACAGGGAGTATCATTTTGCGACTGATGCAGTCAGTCCCTACCGCATTGGAACTGATGGAAATTATACTCTTCCTAACACTACAAGCTGTGAATTGATTGAAGAAAAATGGTGGATAGTCGGGAGCAGGAAGGGAAGAAAGATGTTTTAAGGTTTTGGATTTGATAACCCCATTAATGTAAGGTGAAGAAGAAAAGTGCTTATTTAGGGATTCAAGATCCAAGCTCCCAGAAATACCATCCTGACGCTGTTTGCCAACTCCCATAGTTTTTAGAAATGTCCAGACCTTGGCCGGATCGCCGTTTTCCACTGACTTATGAATATGGCGGCGTTGTGCATCCCTACACATCTTGTTGCTACGATTCCGGGCTGCAATATACTCTTCGCGGTTCCCCGGATTAGGTTGGCGTTTAAATTTGGCCTTTGCCGCTGCCTTCTTATGAATCACGACCTTCAGGTCATCCGTCAACCACGGTGCAGGTACATGCTTTATTTTAACGGGTCGTATTGGAGCATGAATGTCATACAACTGAATGAGCTTGCTGTTAAAGACATTAATCTTCTCATCAATTGCGTCAGCGGCAAGGAGCTTAGACCAGTCAATGTTGCCGGCATCCTCACGAAGCTTATCATGGTCCATACCACTAAAATTGCGCTGAAAGAGAGTTTTGGGTTTAGATTATAATATGTAAATTTAGTAATTTTTTATTAAAATATGTAAATTTTTTAATCACATCATTTACTTAGTAATCAAAATTACAACTACCGAATAAGTATTTAGAGGTACTTCGCATGTCGAGCAAAGTAATGTTGAGTTTTAAATAGGGCTCATAACTGACAAAAAAATTGATGTTAATTCTTACTTATCCACTTGGTAACAAAAGGAAGTGACATAGGGAATTTTAACATACATACTAAAAAAAGATCGTTCAAATAATAATTCTAAATACTTACCGACTTCACAGTTCATGTCACTAATAGCCCTATCCATTGTATCCAGTTGGTTCGATACTGCACGTTCAGGGCAGAGAACAAGCATCTCTACGAAGGAGTAGACCTATGGGACCTCATCAAGGTGAAGGATGCGTATGAAGGCACCATGCTGGACCGACCAGATACTGGGAGACTATCCGTCTTCAGATTCGGTAAGAATTATTATAGCTTTGTTGTTCTACATACTAAGAATGGCTGATGCCGATACGGAGCCACGGAGGACTTAACTGGTTGCCGGGGCTCCGGCTTGAAGTGTAAGAGTAGGAACGGGGTGGTTTTTAGTTAGTACAAGTCTGACACTCCCTCTCGCCTCACCCGGGTGGGAGAAGTCATTGGATGTTATACCCCCCCCCCCCTCCACTCCAAAAAAACCAGGATTACACCTACAGTAGACTAGGACCTAGATGAGCCGCACATACAACAGCACACTGCGTCAGTCGTGCTGTCAAATTCAAAAACTTTTTTCACTTCATTAAAATGTCAAAATTTCATTGCTTGGTTTCTAATATAAATTAAGGAATTGTAGTGAGTGGGATTATATGCTTGCATGGCTCGTCATACGTACGCTTCTAATAAAATATATAAATGTAGTTTATTATAAAGATCTATTGGCACGAGTGAATGGCTATTGACTATACCTAGTAACAAACAACGTACTTAAAGCATCATTATATTCACAGAATACCTAGGTTTTAATATTATTTACATACCAAATACATGAAGTATTCATGTATGTAAAGTGCTTGAAGGTCTAGTATTACATAAAAGTTGAGAATAACGAGTCACAAAGGGAAAGGGTCAAAAACTCCTCAGGTCCCTCATGAAACACTTGGAAATTGTTTACAGAAAAAGTTTGGCTTTTTATTGGATTTTTGTGTCCCAGGTAAAGCCACTATTGTTAAAATAAAATGTTACGCGAGAGAGTCCTTCTATCATTTCAATGTCATGTTTCAAAATTAAAATAGTTATTGAAGATTTTCGATAGCTTCGTTTTCCACAAACACCTTCTATGAAGTTAAATCCATCATCCATCCATAACTGGTGAAAAGTGCACGTCAACCTCTCCCACAGTCGCGAAGAACCTTACGGGTTACCGGGGCTCCGGCTCGACGTGCAGGAGAAGGAACGGGATGGTTTTTAGTCAGTAAGAGTCTAACACTCCCTTCCGCCTCACTCAGGCGGGAGCAATCATTCGATGATATTCCGCCCTTAAAAAAACCTCTCCCACTGAATAGCCTCTTTCATGTCTCAAGATAATCAATTATTAAATTCACAGGTCGATGGGACCCAAGTGAGTACCCTGTGGAAGACCTTTTACGCGCTGGTATGGCGATGACGGAGATCGGTATCAGACAGCCGAAGCTACAAATACTGGCTGGCACTGTGATCGTGGACCTTGAGGGGCTTACGTTACGACATGTGGCGGCCCTAACTCCGACTGTGGCATACCAGATTGTGTGTCTTATGGGAGTGAGTATAGATTGAATCTCTATGATGTCACCTGTGAAATAGTAATTACAAAACATAAGATATAATAGCATAAGATATCGAAATGTTGATGTCAATTTATTAACAGTTTCGAAGAATACATTCATGTAGCTGATGGCTTCCGCTTTGTAGACTGAGCTGATGATATCATACGCGGTCATATACATACATCTGTACATAGCTGATGAGAATGATAGTGATACAGCTCGTGTGGTCGAAGTTTTTGATGTTCTTTTTACTCTATTCGATTTTTTTCATTCATTTTACGAAACTATAAGTATTATTACTTTGTTTTTGAGGACAGTGTGGCTCAATTTTTATATGAATTCTTGAGTCAAACTTAACATGTTAATCTAGATGTATATAGTTACCAAGTTCTTGTATCCATTATTGTTCTCTAGTAGACACAATCTGTTCAATTCTTAAGCCTTAATTCCATGAGAATTTGAATACCGTAGAGTTGCTTATCATTTTTAAACAGACACAATGTTACAGTTTTATCGTGAGAATGCACAATAATTTTCTCAAGAGCACAAAAACTTCATATTGTTGAAATGTTACAACTAATGTCAAGCAAATGGTAAATTGTAGAAGCCTTAATAATAGTGGGAATTTGAATACATTATAAAACATTACATTACAGAATAATAAAGATCATAAAACTCAGTCAGTAAACGAGCAAACGGATCACGTGATGGTAAGCAATCAGCGCTGCCCATGAATACCCAAAACACTAGAGGCGGTACAAGTGCGTTACCGGCCTTTTGGGGATTAGGAATTTGAGGATTGTTAGAGATTCAGGGATTGGGGATATTGGAGAGAGCGGTAGCCTCACTCACACGACGAAACACAACGCAAGTGTTGTTTCACGTTGGTTTTCTGTGAGGCAGTGGTATCACTCCGGTCGAACCGGCCCATTCGTGCCGAAACATGGCTCGCCGAAACTTATAAAATTCGTTAGTTCGTTAAAAAATCTTTAAACCTTTTTTATATTTCAAGTTAGACTTAAAATAAATAAAATTCTTATGTAATGTGCATTTATGATACTTTCTTTTGAAATTATAATAATTATTCTAGATATACTATGATAGTCATTTAGGCCATACAGTATATCAGATTTATTAATTAAATCAACGTAATATACTTGAGCAAAAAATCTTACTCCATATTTCTTGTTTCCAGATAGCAATGCCAGCGCGTATCAAAGGAGTCCACATCATCAACTACTCCTGGATCCTGAACACCTTCTTCTATATCTTCAAGAAGTTCATACCACAGCATGCTTGGCAGTACATTCACTTTCATGGCAATGACCTCAAATCCCTCCAAAAACATCTAGATTTGGAGTGTCTCCCTCCCAGATTCGGAGGAAAGTGTAGGGCTGGCGCAAACTTTGGAGTCTGGCTGTCAAAGATAAAGAAATACAGAGACGAGAAATTTGATAAGGAAATGAAACAATTGGGTTATGTTATCAAAGAGTAATTATGTCGTGGAAACCTTAATTGACACTTGATTGATTACTCTAAATGGACTGATAGATTATAGTCTCTTATAGGCCACGTTTATAATTAAAATTGTATAGTAAATAGTTAGTAAACTATTCATAAACAAGTCAATATCTTGAAGCTAGATGAAAATAGATTTTCTCTATACAGATGGACCTTATGGAAAATATCTATAAAAAAATTCAGTGTTACTTGTTTTAATTAATCTATATTTTCTTATTACATTGAGAAATTCGTTAAGAGTATATGATATTTTAAATCAGTGCCATCTTAAGTCTTGTCAATGAACTAAATAGTGGAACACAAAAGATATTTATCATGTTTTATTATTGTCATTGTAATTTTGTTCGTAATACTAAGCTAATTGAATTCACATTCCATTGCATGTTTATGGTAAAGATTTATTTTATGAAGTAAATTTTACGAATATGACAATAATTCAAAGGTCCTATATTTGCATTTAGGTATGTTTTTAATATTGTAAATGTAAATAAAATACATAGAATTAGATTTAGAACTAAGTTTTGGTGATAGAAATTACTTAATAAATTTTAGTTTATTTAGTATGTTAAGCATCTGTAAGGTTCAGTCAATTACCTATACATTAATTTACCTATTTTTATGTAACATATTAACAATAACAACAAAGAAGAAGTAAGCATCTAGTGCATAAATGTGATCCTTTAGAAAATTTCTACAATAACCGTCAAAGTCAATAATTCAAATTAGATAATTTGAAAATTGTAATCTGTCACCATTGTCAAACACGACGATACGGAGTTGTTAAAGTAATCAAGATACTAAATTAATATTACAAATATTAGAAAGAAATGCTCAAATATAAAATAAGAGAAATTAGTTTTATGTTCTTCAACTCATTTAATGAGGGTTTTCGTTTCGTCTAACGTGAGTTTTCATACCACTGGGGGCGCAAAAGCAAGTTGAGGTCTATTGACCAATTGAATATGTATTTGCTGTCAAGTCAATAGTCAATAAAATTATTATCTACCACAGATATAGTATATCTGTGTTACCTACCTATACTGATTGGCCTAACAAGACCTTATGTCTCACTAGTGCCATCTTATGAGCGCCACCATCGAAAACTCTCATTGCATAAGAACGTATATTATCTAAATAATGTGCCTTATGGTTTTAAAAATGAGGTACTATTTATAAATGTAAATTAATATAAAATTAGGTTTCAAAAACAAAATCCCTTAAAAAAAAACAAAATTTATTCAATAAAACAGAGTTTTATATTTAAACAAAAATTATAACCTCTTAAAACTAATTTACACGGAATTTAACTTAGTCTAGGTACAAAATCAAAACACCAAGCAAAATCACAATAATAGAAAAGTATGTACTCACAAGACTTATAGCACTTTTACCAATACAAAAACACTCACAAATCGCGCCGACTGCTACCAACCTCCACGAGAGCTGACGAGCAAATGACCGCCACCAGCGTCTGCGCCGCCTTTTATAGGCTATGTTAGACACTATTGTTGGGGTTCCTAAATCGGCCTATCCTGAAGAGGCGTCGTCCTCGGCGCCATCTTCGTGACGCTCGTTTATCACCAGAGCTGGTCCTGCTGCTGAAGAGGCACCACCTGGTCCGGCTGTCTCCTCGCCCGGTCTGAGGGAGACTGAGGATGGACCTGCACCTGAATCATACTCTTCGTTATCTGAAACATAAGGCACTGCTATTTCGGGGTGCTAATGCAAATTTCAAAGTCTAATACGTGAGAGCTCTCATTAATGTACTTCCGTAATCTGCATATAAGTACGTAGCGGCCCTCCAACAATGTGGGCAGCATGCAGCACCTGTGAACAGATCAGACAGAAGGCGACCCCTCTGCCTGAGGTTGACGGAGGCATCTCTGAATCGCACGTCAACGCATTAGTTCTTATAGACCGATACCTCTCACTATAGGTACGTCTATACCCAGACGGAAGCATCACTGAATCGCACGTCTGTTACACATGCGTGGACGGAGGCATCTCTGAATCGCACGTCCAGCATACATAAACCATGCGTGGACGGAGGCATCTCTGAATCGCACGTCCAGCATACATAAACCATGCGTGGACGGAGGCATCTCTGAATCGCACGTCCAGCATACATAAACCATGCGTGGACGGAGGCATCTCTGAATCGCACGTCCAGCATACATAACCAGCATATGGACAGAGGCATCCCTGAATCGCATGTCCATAATACATAAAACACTTACCCTCGAAGAAGGCCTCGCAAGACTCAGGACACCATTCTCCATTCCAGGGTATCATATACTCAGCAGCTGCTTGCGTAGTCTTGCCATAGGAGCCGCTGAGTAGTTTCAACTGATATCGACCACTAGGTAACACTTTGATCACCCGGTAAGGTCCGCGCATACCCGGATCCAGTTTTCCTGTCGACTGGGAATACTTTATTACGAACACAAAGTCATTAACATTAAAGGTTCGCGGTGTCCGCCGTTGCTGGTTAACGTAGTCATCTTGTTGGCTTTGATTTCGTGCCAACAGTTCTTGAGCTCTAGCTCTACTCAATTCCCGCCGGCCTTCCAGATTTTGAGACATCTCGATTGCCACGTCGCGGATTAGTGTCCTGACGACCGGTGTGGTGGCGTCGATACCCACTAGTAGTCTCAAAGCCGAAGTTTGCGTGGTCTTATGTTTCGTGATGTTCAGAATCAGTTGAAGCCTCCAGAGTTGTTCGGCCCACTTAGTACCCTTGTGGTTCGTCTCAATTCGAATCATGTTTAAGACGGTTCTGACGTACCTTTCTACTTGCCCATTGGCATTGTGCATTTCAGGAGTTATGAAATGGATCTCACAGCCCAGCTCAGTTAAAAGCGTGGAAAATTCGGACGATTCAAACATTCGCCCGCGATCGGCCACTAAGAGTTTAGGGGCGCCAAAGAGCGAAATTGCATTAGTAAATGTGCGTTTGAGTTCACTTACATCCTGTTTATAAATTGGGTATAACAAACAAAATTTTGTAAAGGAGTCTACAATAAGTAATACAAACTTATAACCATTGGACTCAGGCAATGGGCCTAAAGCATCTATATGCAAAGTTTCAAAAGGTACACTAGGTTTTTCCCAAGAGGTAATCGGTTGGTGAGGGGCTCTAGGGACACGTTTACTTGAAATGCATACAAGACAGTGTTTTATATACTTGGTTACAAACTGACGAAGTCCGGGAAACCAAAAATGTTTAAGAATTAAATCTAGAGTTTTTTCCGCGTATATGTGGTCATGTTCATCGTGAAATATTCTTAGCAAACTTAACCGGTGACCTTTAGGAATGAAACAAAGAAGCCTGGCCTCCTCACCTACCGGTGTGTATCGATAATAAAGTAGCCCATTCTGGCAGACATATCTGTGAGAATCTAACTCTCCGTCCTGTAATTTTTGCAGAAGACTTTGGGTTTCGTCGTCTGCGGACTGAGCGATCTGTGCCCAATTACGTGGCCTCGTAATTTGATGTACAACAGCAGTGACAGGGTTCCGGCTTAAGTAGTCCGCATGTGTCATCATTGTGCCCTTTCTATAATCAATGGTGAAATTAAAATCTTGTAAATAAATCCACCATCTCGCCACGCGCGGAAGCAGGTCCCTCTTTTTCTCAGTAGACTTGAGAGCATTGCAATCTGTGACAACTTTGAAGTTTAAGCCGACTAAATAATGGCGGAAGTTTTGCAATGCCCTCACGACCGCCAGGGTTTCCAGCTCATAAGAGTGGTACCTACTCTCGGCGCCGTGTGTGGCCTTACTAAAGTAGGCGACTACATGCTTAGTACCGTCAGCCTTCTTCTGCATAAGCACCGCACCGTAACCAATGCTACTGGTATCAGTATGCACCTCTGTAGGCAAAGATGGATCAAAGACAGCCAGCACTGGCGCACTAGTTAGGCGATTTATTATTTCCTGCCTCGCTTTATGCTGTTCTGGACCCCAAGTAAATTTTACGTCCTTTTTCATTAAGCGTGCTATGCAGGCGGTCTTTGACGCATAGTCTTGGATGTATCTCCTAAAATATCCAGCTAAGCCCAGAAATTGTCGTATTTGTTTGACATTAGTGGGTATTGGAGAATCAACCAACGCTTGTACTTTACGAGGGCTCGGCCTAACCTGATCCTGACTCACTAACCGCCCCAAATACTCAACTTCTGTTGACAAGAACGAGCACTTCTTTGTATTTATTGAAAAACCTGCCCCTGTTAGGGTTTTTAATACTCTTTCTAACAAACAGATACCCTCGTCGATACTATTACTCATACAGAGAACATCATCAACGTAAACTAGTACATTACCGGCCTCAATATGATCGCGAAGGGTTTCGTTAATAATTCTCTGGTATACTATAGGCGAGTTGGACAACCCATACGGCATACGAAGGAATTCTAAATGAGCTTCTGGTGTAACGAAAGCAGTTTTATGAATTGAACTTTCTTCGATGGCTATCTGATGAAAGCCGGTCGCCATATCGAGACTGGTAAAGTATTTAAAATTACCCAATCTATCTATATGATCGTCTATTAAAGGTAAAGGGTATCGATCTCTAACCGTCAGTCGATTAAGCGCCCTATAGTCGACACACATTCTGTCGCTACCGTCCTTCTTCTTAACTAATATTATGGGGCTGGCGTACTCCGAATTTGATTCGCGGACAATGCCCTTATCTTTTAAATCGCGTACTATTTCGCGGACTTTGAGTTTTTCAGAGTATGACAACTTGTATGGTCGGTAAGCGACAGGCGTATCATCCGTAACCTTAATGGACATTTTGCCAGTAGTAACGGTAGTTGACGCGGTACCCGAAATAAAGAAATTTGAAAACTGTTTTATTAATTTTACAAGTCGATCTAATTCGGTACCCTGAAGGGGTGTGTTAATACACAGTGTTTCGTCAGTGGATACAGCATGAACGACCTTTTCATCGGCTCGAGTCAGGTATTGTTTGTC